TATTAGGTATTAAATTATGATATATCAAGACCTATATTATTATATTCTTTTCAAAATTGTTTTCCTATATGTCATCATGATAAGTTGTCCATCATTGTGGATATATGGTTTTTCATGATGTTACAATCAGGAAATTTTATTCATATTTCCATGAAATAATGATCTTTTGATATGAAATAGTCCAAATACAAATGGGATCAAACTGACGGCATATGAACTTTTATGGATTTTTGGCATTCAATTTGCAACAAATATTAGGTATTAAATTATGAAATATCAAGACCTATATTATTATATTCTTTTCAAAATTGTTTTCCTAAATGTCATCATGATAAGTTGTCCATCATTGTGGATATATGGTTTTTCATGATGTTACAACCAGGAAATTTTATTCATATTTCCATGAAATAATGATCTTTTGATTTGAAATAGTCCAAATACAAATTTATGGCCGTCACAAGCACAGTTAATTTAAAAAATGAAATATAATTACAACACTGCTCTTAAAGATACATGTATACAGTCTCTTTGGTGACTATTCTATATATATATTTATATAATATAAGTTAAATTTACATAAAGTTGTGACTTCAACATGATTTACTGATACTGGTCATCTTTTTTTGTAATGTCACTCAATTTTAAGTTTGTTTTTGTTATCAAATTAATTTAATTCCTTTATGTCATGATGATACGTTGTCCACAGGGTGGATATGTGACTGTTCATGATGTTACAGCCAGGATACTATATATTCAATGAATTTATTCTATTTGATAAATCCCAGTATTGCTTTTATATGAACAAAACAATAGTTGATTAGTATCTGCTTAGGTTTCTTGTTATATTGAAGGCAGTTTTTTTTTAAATTGTCTCTAATGTATTATTGAATGCATTATAATACAGTTGTTTGTATTATTATTATGAATCTAGAATATTTTCTTTTAATGGTGGTATTTACTTTTATGTATGTGAAAGTCCTTTCAGGTCAGTTGCACTCAATCTATGTAAATATCTTATACAGTGTTATTATATATGTTATTATATCTATATGTAAATATTGCTTACATAGATGGAATATTATTTTTAATGAACTTCTTTTTAATTATGAAATGATTATTTGTATATAATGCTAATGAAATGGGTAATTAAATTTACACACACATTACTAAATGAGAACTAATACTTGAAAAGTTGTTTTCTAATTGATGTGTTTAAAGCTTAAACAGAGAATACATTCTGTGTATCCTATTTAGTCCCTAACATGACATCTGCTGACAAATAGAAATAGTATTGTTTATATAAAACCATTAATATGAGCCCATTTAGAATTCAAGTCCTATTCGAATGCAATTCAGCTATATTTATGACTGATCTAGGATGGAAATTAAAATTTTCAACACGCATTAATAAATGAGAACTGATACTTGAAAAGTTCTTCTCTAATCATGCTAATTGATGTGTTTAAAGCTTAAACAGAGAATACATTCTGTGTATCCTATTTAGTCCCTTACATGACATCTGCTGACAAATAGAAATAGTATTGTTTATATAAAACCATTAATATGAGCCTATTTAGAATTCAAAAGTCCTATTCAAATGCAGTTCAGTTATATTATTTATGACTGATCTGGGATGGTTATTAAAATTTCAAATTGTATACATGTACTATCTTAAATTGTTTAAATTGTCCAGTGTTATAATGTGAAACAAATTATGGCTAAAGTTACCACATAGGAATGAGAGTCCACATGGTCTTGATATAGTATTCATTGTGCATGTACATATATTTATATGATTAACAGTTTTGCTTTATACCAGATTTCTATAAAAATCTGTCCACACAAAAGAAATTATTCATGTTATTGTTAATTTGAATTCTTCTGTATTGTGCTTTATTCTAATATTCTAAATATTAGTCTACTTAAAATTTATTTGCATTTAAGCTTGGCTCAGAAATATTTTGAAATATCATTTACTAACAGAGCAAAATTCAAGATTTAGGGATGGAAATTGAAAAGTTCAATACGTTGGACTAAAAAAAAACCCACAAATTATATATGATGAATTGCTTGTGTTTAACGCCACTTTTTATAATTTGCTATGTTGTGTCAGCCAATTCTTATTGGTACTTAAAGCAAGAATGCTCAGAAAGAACCTATGTTAGGAGCCACCCTACTCCTAGTCAATTAAGATTGGAGTTGAGCGAACCCGCACAAGGAGGGTTTAAACTCACAACCTCAGTGTAGACACGTAACTACTTTGGCATCCCCACAAGTAATGTTAGGAGTAAATCTAAATAACTGCAAATTAATTTTAAGTGGCTGCATTATTGTTTGTTGGAGTTATTGTTTTTATTAATTATTATTGTAACATTCTTAACTGTTGCCTTTTAGTCAACAGATTTGATAATATAATGTTGCAATATGAAGTTTAACTTTGTTATTTATATATATATATATTATAACAATATATATATGACATGATTTCTATAAAAAAGATTGATATGTAAAAGTGGTCAATTAAAGATAAAGTATATTAATAAATACATAGAATAATGTCTTTGAGTATATAATGTAGTTGTATCATGATTATGCCCCTTTTCTCCTTAGACATATCATATAAAGTCATTAACATAGATGATTTATTTACATCTTTAGTCTTAACTCTTTTTTGTTTATTCTATTTAAGCTTAATTACTTTTGTTTATTTACTATTACAATAAAATTTATTTCAGTTTAATAAAAATGATGATTACAAATATATTTTAAAAAGTCTTAGTGAAATTAGAAACGTTCAAATTGAAATGTGAAACTTGTGATTATTATTGGACTCAGTAGACAATTAAAATATGACTATAATTTCATACTGGGTAACTAATACTTGCTTGATTAGAAGTTGAAAATAATTCTTAACTATGTATCTCTTATATTTACAGATAACAATAGGAACGAAGAAGAGCTTGGAACATTTCAGTTTTAAAGATTTATGAAACATAGGACTATTTGACATTAGATGATGTTTTACATGCACTTTTTTACATTAATGCCTCTTATATTTTAAGATGTATCATTATTACATATTTTTTTTTATTTACATCCAAAGTCTAAGTATTTTTGTTTATTTTCTAGAAGCTTATTTATTTTTAATTATTTAAATTTTTATTTACATATGTTTCATTTTTACATTATTTTTAAATTTTTCATCCTTTAATTAATTTTTTTTCCCTTAACATATTTTTTGTTTTTAAATATACACACAGCTACATTTATCATTTTCAGCAGAGCCTATTTGATGAATAAGATCAAAAGGTACTAACTTCAAGGATATAAATTCTTGACTATTTTTTTCTTGTTGACAATCAGTTGAAACAAATTTTGACAAAAGAGAATGTGCAAGTCAACGTTAAATGTAAAATATTCTAAATGTCACTGTTGGTGATTTTCTTCCTGCAAGGAAAGACTACTGTTTCTGTAATTGTTAATGCTAGTCATTCAGTGTTGTTTGGGGAAAGACGGTATTGCACCCTAAGTACCTATAATTGTGAATGCTAGTCAATCTGTGTTGTTTGGGGAAAGACAGTATTGCACCCTAAGTACCTATAATTGTGAATGCTAGTCATTCTGTGTTGTTTGGGGAAAGACGGTATTGCACCCTAAGTACCTATAATTGTGAATGCTAGTCATTCAGTGTTGTTTGGGGAAAGACGGTATTGCACCCTAAGTACCTATAATTGTGAATGCTGGTCATTTTGTGTTGTTTGGTGAAAGACGGTATCGCACCCTAAGTACCTATAATTGTGAATGCTGGTCATTTTGTGTTGTTTGGGGAAGACGGTATTGCACCCTAAGTACCTATAATTGTGAATGCTAGTCATTTTGTGTTGTTTGGGGAAAGACGGTATTGCACCCTAAGTACCTATAATTGTGAATGCTAGTCATTTTGTGTTGTTTGGGGAAAGACGGTATTGCACCCTAAGTACCTATAATTGTGAATGCTGGTCATTTTGTGTTGTTTGGGGAAGACGGTATTGCACCCTAAGTACCTATAATTGTGAATGCTAGTCATTTTGTGTTGTTTGGGGAAAGACGGTATTGCACCCTAAGTACCTATAATTGTGAATGCTAGTCATTTTGTGTTGTTTGGGGAAAGACGGTATTGCACCCTAAGTACCTATAATTGTGAATGCTAGTCATTTTCTGTTGTTTGGGGAAAGACGGTATTGCACCCTAAGTACCTATAATTGTGAATGCTAGTCATTCAGTGTTGTTTGGGGAAAGACGGTATTGCACCCTAAGTACCTATAATTGTGAATGGTAGTCATTTTGTGTTGTTTGGGGAAAGACGGTATTGCACCCTAAGTACCTATAATTGTGAATGCTAGTCATTTTCTGTTGTTTGGGGAAAGACGGTATTGCACCCTAAGTACCTATAATTGTGAATGCTAGTCATTCAGTGCTGTTTGGGGAAAGACGGTATTGCATCCTACTACCTATAATTGTGAATGCTAGTCATTCAGTGTTGTTTGGGGAAAGACGGTATTGCACCCTAAGTACCTATAATTGTGAATGCTAGTCATTTTCTGTTGGTTGGGGAAAGACGGTATTGCACCCTAAGTACCTATAATTGTGAATGCTAGTCATTCAGTGTTGTTTGGGGAAAGACGGTATTGCACCCTAAGTACCTATAATTGTGAATGCTAGTCATTTTGTGTTGTTTGGGGAAAGACGGTATTGCACCCTAAGTACCTATAATTGTGAATGCTAGTCATTTTGTGTTGTTTGGGGAAAGACGGTATTGCACCCTAAGTACCTATAATTGTGAATGCTAGTCATTTTGTGTTGTTTGGGGAAGACGGTATTGCACCCTAAGTACCTATAATTGTGAATGCTAGTCATTCAGTGTTGTTTGGGGAAAGACGGCATTGCACCCTAAGTACCTATAATTGTGAATGCTAGTCATTCAGTGTTGTTTGGGGAAGACGGTATTGCACCCTAAGTACCTATAATTGTGAATGCTAGTCATTCTGTGTTGTTTGGGAAAGACGGTATTGCACCCTAAGTACCTATAATTGTGAATGCTAGTCATTTTGTGTTGTTTGGGGAAAGACGGTATTGCACCCTAAGTACCTATAATTGTGAATGCTAGTCATTCTGTGTTGTTTGGGGAAAGACGGTATAGCACCCTAAGTACCTATAATTGTGAATGCTAGTCATTCTGTGTTGTTTGGGGAAAGACGGTATTGCACCCTAAGTACCTATAATTGTGAATGCTGGTCATTTTGTGTTGTTTGGGGAAAGACGGTATTGCACCCTAAGTACCTATAATTGTGAATGCTGGTCATTTTCTGTTGTTACGGGAAAGACGGTACTGCACCCTAAGTACCTATAATTGTGAATGCTTGTCATTTTGTGTTGTTTGAGGAAAGACGGTATTGCACCCTACTACCTATAATTGTGAATGCTAGTCATTTTCTGTTGTTTGGGGAAAGACGGTATTGCACCCTAAGTACCTATAATTGTGAATGCTAGTCATTCAGTGTTGTTTGGGGAAAGACGGTATTGCACCCTAAGTACCTATAATTGTGAATGCTAGTCATTTTGTGTTGTTTGAGGAAAGACGGTATTGCACCCTACTACCTATAATTGTGAATGCTAGTCATTCTGTGTTGTTTGGGGAAAGACGGTATTGCACCCTACTACCTATAATTGTGAATGCTAGTCATTCAGTGTTGTTTGGGGAAAGACGGTATTGCACCGTAAGTACCTATAATTGTGAATGCTAGTCATTCAGTGTTGTTTGGGGAAAGACGGTATTGCACCCTAAGTACCTATAATTGTGAATGCTAGTCATTCTGTGTTGTTTGGGGAAAGACGGTATTGCACCCTAAGTACCTATAATTGTGAATGCTAGTCATTCAGTGTTGTTTGGGGAAAGACGGTATTGCACCCTACTAACTATAATTGTGAATGCTAGTCATTCAGTGTTGTTTGGGGAAAGACGGTATTGCACCCTAAGTACCTATAATTGTGAATGCTAGTCATTTTCTGTTGTTTGGGGAAAGACGGTATTGCACCCTAAGTACCTATAATTGTGAATGCTAGTCATTCAGTGTTGTTTGGGGGAAAGACGGTATTGCACCCTAAGTACCTATAATTGTGAATGCTAGTCATTCAGTGTTGTTTGGGGAAGACGGTATTGCACCCTAAGTACCTATAATTGTGAATGCTAGTCATTTTGTGTTGTTTGGGGAAGACGGTATTGCACCCTAAGTACCTATAATTGTGAATGCTAGTCATTTTCTGTTGTTTGGGGAAAGACGGTATTGTACCCTAAGTACCTATAATTGTGAATGCTAGTCATTCAGTGTTGTTTGGGGAAAGACGGTATTGCACCCTAAGTACCTATAATTGTGAATGCTAGTCATTCTGTGTTGTTTGGGGAAAGACGGTATTGCACCCTAAGTACCTATAATTGTGAATGCTAGTCATTTTCTGTTGTTTGGGGAAAGTCGGTATTGCACCCTAAGTACCTATAATTGTGAATGCTAGTCATTTTGTGTTGTTTGGGGAAAGACGGTATTGCACCCTAAGTACCTATAATTGTGAATGCTAGTCATTCTGTGTTTTTTGGGGAAAGACGGTATTGCACCCAAAGTACCTATAATTGTGAATGCTAGTCATTCAGTGTTGTTTGGGGAAAGACGGTATTGCACCCTACTACCTATAATTGTGAATGCTAGTCATTCAGTGTTGTTTGGGGAAAGACGGTATTGCACCCTAAGTACCTATAATTGTGAATGGTAGTCATTTTCTGTTGTTTGGGGAAAGACGGTATTGCACCCTAAGTACCTATAATTGTGAATGCTAGTCATTTTGTGTTGTTTGAGGAAAGACGGAATTGCACCCTACTACCTATAATTGTGAATGCTAGTCAGTTTGTGTTGTTTGGGGAAAGACGGTTTTGCACCCTAAGTACCTATAATTGTGAAAGCTAGTCAATTAGTGTTGTTTGGGGAAAGACGGTATTGCACCCTAAGTACCTATAATTGTGAATGCTAGTCATTCTGTGTTGTTTGGGGAAAGACGGTATTGCACCCTAAGTACCTATAATTGTGAATGCTAGTCATTTTGTGTTGTTTGGGGAAAGACGGTATTGCACCCTAAGTACCTATAATTGTGAATGCTAGTCATTTTGTGTTGTTTGGGGAAAGACGGTATTGCACCCTAAGTACCTATAATTGTGAATGCTAGTCATTCAGTGTTGTTTGGGGAAAGACGGTATTGCACCCTAAGTACCTATAATTGTGAATGCTAGTCATTCTGTGTTGTTTGGGGAAAGACGGTATTCCACCCTAAGTACCTATAATTGTGAATGCTAGTCATTCTGTGTTGTTTGGGGAAAGACGGTATTGCACCCTAAGTACCTATAATTGTGAATGCTAGTCATTTTGTGTTGTTTGGGGAAAGACGGTATTGCACCCTAAGTACCTATAATTGTGAATGCTAGTCATTCAGTGTTGTTTGGGGAAAGACGGTATTGCACCCTAAGTACCTATAATTGTGAATGCTAGTCATTCTGTGTTGTTTGGGGAAAGACGGTATTGCACCCTAAGTACCAATAATTGTGAATGCTAGTCATTCAGTGTTGTTTGGGGAAAGACGGTATTGCACCCTAAGTACCTATAATTGTGAATGCTAGTCATTTTGTGTTGTTTGGGGAAAGACGGTATTGCACCCTAAGTACCTATAATTGTGAATGCTAGTCATTTTGTGTTGTTTGGGGAAAGACGGTATTGCACCCTACTACCTATAATTGTGAATGCTAGTCATTTTGTGTTGTTTGAGGAAAGACGGTATTGCACCCTACTACCTATAATTGTGAATGCTAGTCATTTTCTGTTGTTTGGGGAAAGACGGTAAAAGTACCTATAATTGTGAATGCTAGTCATTTTGTGTTGTTTGAGGAAAGACGGTATTGCACCCTACTACCTATAATTGTGAATGCTAGTCATTTTGTGTTGTTTGAGGAAAGACGGTATTGCACCCTACTACCTATAATTGTGAATGCTAGTCATTTTGTGTTGTTTGAGGAAAGACGGTATTGCACCCTACTACCTATAATTGTGAATGCTAGTCATTTTCTGTTGTTTGGGGCAAGACGGTATTGCACCCTAAGTACCTATAATTGTGAATGCTAGTCATTTCGTGTTGTTTGGGGAAAGACGGTATTGCACCCTAAGTACCTATAATTGTGAATGCTAGTCATTTTGTGTTGTTTGGGGAAAGACGGTATTGCACCCTACTACCTATAATTGTGAATGCTAGTCATTTTCTGTTGTTTGGGGAAAGACGGTATTGCACCCTAAGTACCTATAATTGTGAATGCTAGTCATTATGTGTTGTTTAGGGAAAGACGGTATTGCACCCTACTACCTATAATTGTGAATGCTAGTCATTTTGTGTTGTTTGAGGAAAGACGGTATTGCACCCTACTACCTATAATTGTGAATGCTAGTCATTTTCTGTTGTTTGGGGCAAGACGGTATTGCACCCTAAGTACCTATAATTGTGAATGCTAGTCATTTCGTGTTGTTTGGGGAAAGACGGTATTGCACCCTAAGTACCTATAATTGTGAATGCTAGTCATTTTGTGTTGTTTGGGGAAAGACGGTATTGCACCCTACTACCTATAATTGTGAATGCTAGTCATTTTCTGTTGTTTGGGGAAAGACGGTATTGCACCCTAAGTACCTATAATTGTGAATGCTAGTCATTATGTGTTGTTTAGGGAAAGACGGTATTGCACCCTACTACCTATAATTGTGAATGCTAGTCATTCAGTGTTGTTTGGGGAAAGACGGTATTGCACCCTAAGTACCTATAATTGTGAATGGTAGTCATTTGGTGTTGTTTGGGGAAAGACGGTATTGCACCCTAAGTACCTATAATTGTGAATGCTAGTCATTTTGTGTTGTTTGAGGAAAGACGGAATTGCACCCTACTACCTATAATTGTGAATGCTAGTCAGTTTGTGTTGTTTGGGGAAAGACGGTTTTGCACCCTAAGTACCTATAATTGTGAAAGCTAGTCAATTAGTGTTGTTTGGGGAAAGACGGTATTGCACCCTAAGTACCTATAATTGTGAATGCTAGTCATTCTGTGTTGTTTGGGGAAAGACGGTATTGCACCCTAAGTACCTATAATTGTGAATGCTAGTCATTTTGTGTTGTTTGGGGAAAGACGGTATTGCACCCTAAGTACCTATAATTGTGAATGCTAGTCATTTTGTGTTGTTTGGGGAAAGACGGTATTGCACCCTAAGTACCTATAATTGTGAATGCTAGTCATTCAGTGTTGTTTGGGGAAAGACGGTATTGCACCCTAAGTACCTATAATTGTGAATGCTAGTCATTCTGTGTTGTTTGGGGAAAGACGGTATTGCACCCTAAGTACCTATAATTGTGAATGCTAGTCATTCTGTGTTGTTTGGGGAAAGACGGTATTGCACCCTAAGTACCTATAATTGTGAATGCTAGTCATTTTGTGTTGTTTGGGGAAAGACGGTATTGCACCCTAAGTACCTATAATTGTGAATGCTAGTCATTCAGTGTTGTTTGGGGAAAGACGGTATTGCACCCTAAGTACCTATAATTGTGAATGCTAGTCATTCTGTGTTGTTTGGGGAAAGACGGTATTGCACCCTAAGTACCAATAATTGTGAATGCTAGTCATTCAGTGTTGTTTGGGGAAAGACGGTATTGCACCCTAAGTACCTATAATTGTGAATGCTAGTCATTTTGTGTTGTTTGGGGAAAGACGGTATTGCACCCTAAGTACCTATAATTGTGAATGCTAGTCATTTTGTGTTGTTTGGGGAAAGACGGTATTGCACCCTACTACCTATAATTGTGAATGCTAGTCATTTTGTGTTGTTTGAGGAAAGACGGTATTGCACCCTACTACCTATAATTGTGAATGCTAGTCATTTTCTGTTGTTTGGGGAAAGACGGTAAAAGTACCTATAATTGTGAATGCTAGTCATTTTGTGTTGTTTGAGGAAAGACGGTATTGCACCCTACTACCTATAATTGTGAATGCTAGTCATTTTGTGTTGTTTGAGGAAAGACGGTATTGCACCCTACTACCTATAATTGTGAATGCTAGTCATTTTGTGTTGTTTGAGGAAAGACGGTATTGCACCCTACTACCTATAATTGTGAATGCTAGTCATTTTCTGTTGTTTGGGGCAAGACGGTATTGCACCCTAAGTACCTATAATTGTGAATGCTAGTCATTTCGTGTTGTTTGGGGAAAGACGGTATTGCACCCTAAGTACCTATAATTGTGAATGCTAGTCATTTTGTGTTGTTTGGGGAAAGACGGTATTGCACCCTACTACCTATAATTGTGAATGCTAGTCATTTTCTGTTGTTTGGGGAAAGACGGTATTGCACCCTAAGTACCTATAATTGTGAATGCTAGTCATTATGTGTTGTTTAGGGAAAGACGGTATTGCACCCTACTACCTATAATTGTGAATGCTAGTCATTTTGTGTTGTTTGAGGAAAGACGGTATTGCACCCTAAGTACCTATAATTGTGAATGCTAGTCATTCAGTGTTGTTTGGGGAAAGACGGTATTGCACCCTAAGTACCTATAATTGTGAATGCTAGTCATTTTGTGTTGTTTGAGGAAAGACGGTATTGCACCCTAAGTACCTATAATTGTGAATGCTAGTCATTTTGTGTTGTTTGGGGAAAGACGGTATTGCACCCTAATTACCTATAATTGTGAATGCTGGTCATTCAGTGTTGTTTGGGGAAAGACGGTATTGCACCCTAAGTACCTATTATTGTGAATGCTAGTCATTTTGTGTTGTTTGGGGAGAGACGGTATTGCACCCTAAGTACCTATAATTGTGAATGCTAGTCATTATGTGTTGTTTGGGGAAAGACGGTATTGCACCCTAAGTACCTATAATTGTGAATGCTAGTCATTTGGTGTTGTTTGGGGAAAGACGGTATTGCACCCTAAGTACCTATAATTGTGAATGCTAGTCATTTTGTGTTGTTTGAGGAAAGACGGTATTGCACCCTAAGTACCTATAATTGTGAATGCTAGTCATTCAGTGTTGTTTGGGGAAAGACGGTATTGCACCCTAAGTACCTATAATTGTGAATGGTAGTCAATCTGTGTTGTTTGGGGAAAGACGGTATTGCACCCAAAGTACCTATAATTGTGAATGCTAGTCATTTTGTGTTGTTTGGGGAAAGACGGTATTGCACCCTAAGTACCTATAATTGTGAATGCTAGTCATTTGGTGTTGTTTGGGGAAAGACGGTATTGCACCCTAAGTACCTATAATTGTGAATGCTAGTCATTATGTGTTGTTTGGGGAAAGACGGTATTGCACCCTAAGTACCTATAATTGTGAATGCTAGTCATTTGGTGTTGTTTGGGGAAAGACGGTATTGCACCCTAAGTACCTATAATTGTGAATGCTAGTCATTTTGTGTTGTTTGGGGAAAGACGGTATTGCACCCTAAGTACCTATAATTGTGAATGCTAGTCATTCAGTGTTGTTTGGGGAAAGACGGTATTGCACCCTACTACCTATAATTGTGAATGCTAGTCATTTGGTGTTGTTTGGGGAAAGACGGTATTGCACCCTAAGTACCTATAATTGTGAATGCTAGTCATTTTGTGTTGTTTGGGGAAAGACGGTATTGCACCCTACTACCTATAATTGTGAATGCTAGTCATTTTGTGTTGTTTGGGGAAAGACGGTATTTTACACCCTAAGTACCTATACTTGTGAATGCTGGTCATTCCATATCTGTATGTTTCGTGTATGAATGCTAGTCATTCAGTTTGTAGTTTTTATGTTGACATTCATTTGTTAAGTACAGTGACTAAATTATCTGCAACTTATCAGACTAAGAGAGAAATGGTTTTATTTGCCAATTGCAACCCGCTATATGTCGACTGGTTTTCTGGCTTTTTCAAGCCAATATGACCAGAAATTATTTTAGAACAAATATGTTTCAAGTTTGAATAGGAATTTAATTCATCTTTTGAAACTAACAAAAAAAAATACTTTGCAAGGTTACAAAGCTGTTTAAAAATTATTTCATTAAAATGGTGTGCATTTAGATATTTAACACAGTATTCAAAATGGAAAGATTATGATCCATAGGACTGATACAAAAGGACATTGTCTCATTGGCAATCATACCACATTCTTTATTTTTATATGGAATATTGAAAAGGACTTTTATTACTTTCTTATATTAAATAATAAATATGTTGAAGGTTGATAATGTAGCTGGTGTATTTTTTCTTTTTTCATTTTTTTTCAATTTGTTTTCCTCTTTTGTTTTTTAGTTTAATAAAAACTGAATCTTATGTATGCTTTAGTGTTCTATTTTGATAAACTAGGTATTAACAAGTAATTTCAATCACCCATATCCAAACCATCCACCAAGACCATTGTATAAATGGTAAAATAATCAGTGCAAAACAGTTGTATCCAATGTTCAGCCTGATTGATTTTCCAATTTGTTTTACATTAATAATCTATCAACATTAATGGTCATTTCACTTTTAATATGGCATGTTTAATCACAAGTCAAGGATATGCATGCAATATATTGCATTGCATGGTCAAGTTTCAATGTATTACTGATATACAAAGGCGGAAGATACAAAGGGGCAATCAAACTTGCAAGTTGAAAACAATGGATAAAGCCATCACAAAAAAATAAAGATGACAAGACAAACATGTGTCTACTTTACAACATGGATCACTAAAGACTCTGAGCAACATGAACCCCACAAAAATACAGGTGATCTCAGGTGCTCTGGATGAGACAGCTGATCCTGCTCAAAATGTAGTATTAAGAATGATATGCCCAAGTGGTCTTTTCCCACATGTGATCACATGATTTTGTAAACCCTTGGTTTTTTATTACTGTAAATTTACAAATTATTGTGTGCATTTATTATTGCTATTTTTGAAGAATGAACTAAAATGTAAAATTAAATATTGTTGTTTCAAGAAAATCTGTACACAGATATATGAATCTGATTAAGATATAGATCCTGTGTCCAAGCTTTGCTTCCTTGTAACGAAAGCGTGGACATAGGATCTGTATTTAAATCAGATTGATAAGCTATCGGAATATAAGTTCTTTTTGATGGGATATTCACCCAGTCACATTATTGCATTAATAAAAACTTCACAATCATTTCTTAATTTACAGTACCTAAAATGTCCACCATGAGAGACATGTAGAAAGAATAGTGTGAAATAAGAGATATGGGTTTAACACCAATTCTAATAATATAAAACAGGATCACCAAAATCAGTGAGACATATACAAAGCATCTTCAAGTTTGATCTTAGAAGCAATTTGGCCTTTGTTTTATTTCCCTATTAGTCATATACAGCTTTTACATGAATTGAGACTTGTGTGTTCTTGGCTTTGAGTATTCCTGCTGATTGATTAAAACAATTTTTGTTTCAATAGTAACAGTCCTATACACCCCTAAAAATGAATGGTGTAGTGTCTAACAGATTCCTTGATAAGGATAGGCACATATAAACAAATGTGGGAGTGTAACCTTCCCACTAGTCTGGTACAGATCTGTTTAACAAGAACAGACCCTAAAAAATCAAGTGAAAAGGGATTGACTCATCAGACTGGTTCTTCAAGTCACAGTGCCAGTCTATATTTTGTTGATCTCGGGATAAATGAATACAGATAACTCAATCTCATGAGTTGTGAACATATTGCTAAAATGTTCAAGTTCTGAATAAAAACAATAAGACCCATTTAATATAGTGGATCCAAATTTGTTGGGATCCTTCAATGGTTGGTTCAATTCTGTATTTTAATATTAATGTATACAACACAACATCAAAGATTTCCTGGCTTGCATGTAAATATGTTGTTTTAGTACGTTGTGTAGAGAATCTGAGATTAGCTAAGGTTTTTCACCTGGCATGTGTTTAAGGTTTTCATTTTCTTGAAAGTAGGAAGGGGGGCACCACCAGACAACTGAAATAATAACGAAATCCAGTCATACACAAAACAAGTCTCAGTGTAGTACCTTAATATGTTACATACTGCATAATGATTAAATACCAAATGACAATAATTGATACTAAGAGTCTGGGCAACAAGGAACAGATTAACAAAAGACGAAACAAAGCAACATTTCACCACTTTTAAATAAAATATATTTGAATTCGAGAAAACATCATCATATTTCATTGTCCTTATCTTTTTCGTGGTTTAAAACGGGTAATTTATAGATCTTGTGCTCCATTTTGCGATGAAATAACTCCAAAAACGCCTGAAAATTGTCTATTTTTAACCTCCTGTTCAAGCGTTAATTATGTAAACAAGACAAAGAGTGACGGGAAGTTCTTGGTATAGTCATGTGCCTTTATCTATCTGGGTCACATGTATTTATATCTCAACCAATGAAAAGCTTTAGGATGCAATTGTGTCAGTTATTTCCAGACGGGGTTATTACCCGCGGTTTTTTGGAAGTCAACGGAGGTCGAAACTTTATTTGTCATATTTCAATAACGAACCAATTATTTTATTTATTTTTTTTGGCAGTCGTTTAACAAAATCTATTCTGATGAAAATTAAACTGCAAATACTGTTGAATGATAAGTCGTTTTGATAAATTTATTGTCTGAATCGCATGCTACGTTTTTGTTTACAAGCTGATTACAGCGCCACCTCGAAATTTTTCGATTATGTCCCCTTTCCCGCGTGACCACCGAAAGGAACTCTTCAATGTCACTGGCTTTCCCACTGATTTGTTTTCTCTCAATCGATTTATGACTTTTGAACACCGCTAAACTACTTATTGCCTTTATTTATATATTGTAGCACTTTTTTTCTAAAAAAAACAATACAGAATAGTGTCTACGTTGTAACACTGACTTAACTAATTGACAATATCTGTATTTTTTGATTTGACAAAGGAGGATTTTTTTTTTAGTTTAGTTTCAAAAGTATGCTCATTGACATCGAATTAATAATGCACTTGATGATCTCTTATATTGATTCAAGAACAATAGCAGACTTTAACTAGGCGATTTTTCAATAATATATTATACATTATTTCCGAAAGTATTTTGAACAATATTCATTCTATCAGGGTGCAACTCATTATTAAATACAGCTTTTTGTCACACTAAAAAAATAACGTGATATGGTATTATCTACTCGAGACAAAAATGAATTGATTCGTACTTGTGTTGATCTATCCAAAGATCAACAAAGGAATTTTTCTTATATCTAAATATGTATAACGAGGTATGGTCTTACAATGTATCTAGTATATCTGATTATTCTACCGTTCAAACAGGCATACTTTAAAAAATCTACCGATCAGTATGGCATAATACTCTCTTCGATCATTGACTAATAACAGACACCAATAGTTCACAAATATTCAAATTTCATAAATAAGTTAAGAAGATACAAAACAAGACAAGAAACAAACTAAAGTAACAGCATAAACTTCAAAAGCAGAGAGCTGATACGTCAACAAGGTAATCGTCTCCTGTTATACAAGCACAAACCTTAAACAGTGGTGTAACAACACATCTTAAGATAAACGAAGCTAAATACACATTGATGATTTTAGCGTTTGATATAGTTTTGGTTTATGTCGTTGAGTTGTTCTTTCACTAAACTTTATCTATACCTTCTTTAAGTTATCCTTTTCTGTTCGATACTTACGTATCTGAACTGACCTAAAGGGTTGACAAGGGTATAAACATATGGTCATATCTAGGTGTTTGTGCGACCGGCCGGGAGCGCAACAGAACAACCGTCTATTACCTGTGTTGGTTGTGCTAACCTTTTACGTCAAAGAAAAACAAACAAAGCCATTGCATCAAACAAAAACAAAAACGAATAGACAAGCAATAGTCCATAAAGAACAACATGAACAATTTAGAAAGTAAAATCAACTGTGCAGCACTAACCCCTCACAAAAAACGGTTGAAGCTTAAATCTCCGAAAGGGCTAGTAGATACGTCTTTAGGTCAGACGACCGTGTTTAGATGATTAACCCTACAACATCTGTTTAAAGCTGGGCTACATCAGCCATGTTTTCTTCTATTCGGTTTTTCTTTGAGTGTGTATTACATTTCTTGAAATTTTGGTTTTGATTGTTGGTATGTTCTGTTAAAAGGTCCATTACGTACAAACGAATACGAATTTGACTCCCAATGAGCACGCACGATCTAGCTATCTAGTTTGTTTATAATAGATGACGAAAAATGACATTCCATTAATTTTTTGCGTTCGAATCGCTTTTCTGTATTTTACTTTATTATACTAAAACATTTTTGGACAATGGATTTAAAAATTGTACAATAATATAAACTCGTGTCACCTCTCTCAAACATTTTCTTTAGACTTGTCCTTAGACATACTCCCTAAAGATGCATGCTTAAAGTAGATGAAATTCGTCCACCAACTTACCCCCCCCCCCCCCCCCCCCCCCCCAAAAAAAAATGGATTAATTATAAATTAATTTAATTACAATACCTGATTCGTTGTTTATTAGATGTCCATACACTTCTACTTCACAAATGACTAAGTATAACGTATCACGGCGTTTAATCCTGATATACCTTCCTTGAGTGTTAGGAGGGCAGGTAACCGTAATTCTCTG